TACAATCTGCACACTAAAGATAGCATGTTTGCAGTTAAAAATCTCCAGAGACTTTAGACCCATACATAAAGATACTTATTTCACTCTTTTCTGAGACACTGACCTGTATCCTCATTTAAAAATGAACACCACATCTTTATGTTATTAAATCTTTGTTTTGATCTATTAGTATTCACCAAAGTGCCATTTTATACAACCCCACACTGAATAGGCAAGGCTGGAGGTAACCATCTGCAGCTTTAGAGTCTGCGTTTGAATTGATGAAAAGAGCTTTGTGTTTTCATTGCCAAGTTTGATTCTTCCAGTCATTAGACATTCCCCTCAGATCTCATCAATGAAGCGGACTCTCTTACACCCATGTGTTAAATTCTCTTCTCCTCATGGTTTCCTTTGCCAGCTATACTCCAGAAAGACTTTTGGGTCTTAGCCACATTCTTCCCACAGCTGTGTTAGAAAAGAGCATCAGAGCGTCTTCCCAAAATCCATATGTGTATCTGGTCAGTCCCCCGTTGGAGGGTCACCTCACATTGTGGTGTGATTATTCAAATATTCATTCTTGTTCTTGAACTGCACTGCTTCATTCATTCTGGGAAAGATTAGACCTCCAGTCAGCACTGAAGAACGTCTTGGATGCTGATGTGAAATGCTCACAGCTGCCATACTGGGAAGGCAGATTAGTTTTTCCTGCAGAAGAGGGGGACTCTACTTCATAGATGGTCACTTCTTATTTCTTTCCATGTTTGTACTCTTTGCAGCTGTGTCGAATGCTGGTAAGAACTGTTTGTTTTTGTCGTGTCATCGATCCACTTATTTATCAGCATCAGCTAAGGAACAAATCTAAGGGAGCAGCTATGAAAGCAGTGAAAGTGTGTTCAGAAATGCTTGAGGGAAAACTAGTACTACTCAAAAAAAGGGTGTGTTCCAGTAACAATGGAAGTAAGGTGGCCAAAAGATCACACCTTAGGAGGGAAAGCAAATGTTATTAAGGGTAGCATTTATCTTATGAGAGAGAGAAATTTCATTTAATAAAACTGTTTATTAAGAAGATTGCTTAGTTTCCTTTTTACTCAATCCACTGAGGTATTTTATGCAAATCTGTAACTCTCCTGACTTCCTCCATAAAAGAAAAAGCAAAAGCAAAAAGTGTTTTTAATAAACAGTTAAGCACAAATGAAGTAAGAATTCTGCTTTACATCACTTCTGTATTTGCTTTGTTCACAGTAAGAACTACCTTTACAAAGTGCACAAGTGGCATATTTTTCACTGTTTATGCTTATTTTCATACCTTTACATTTTAGCAATGCACCATTACTTTGTGAATTTGTGCTTCTGCACAGAAATTTCTACAGAAATTCTACACACACAACCTCTGCTGCCACCTTACACAGCTGTTTGAGTGTGCAAGTGCAACTGCACTCACGTGCAGAGATAAGTTTTACTGAGTTAGAATCACAAAATTGTGAAAAAAAATACAAGCCCTTAATAGACAAATTGCATTAAAATTCACTCCAGCTGCAAAGCTTTGGCAGAAAAATAGATTTCCTGCAAAAAACCACATCAAAACTGGCCTCAACATTTACTGATAATTGGCTAATATTGATTGGCTATTACATTATAACCTCCTCTGATCTCACTGACATCAGCAGGCACTCCCCAGTTCCAGAGGTTCCAGCAGGAAGGCCAGTTTTAAAATGTCTTGCTTCCTCTGCTGGCAGAGGCATTAATTAATTCACAGACTTTTCCAGCCACCTTTTCCAGGTCAACCCCATTTCCCTGCTGGGGCTGCACCAGCTGGCTCCTGGCTTCTCTGGCAGGACAAACTTGCAGGGGGTGTGTGGCTCTGAGCCAACACTCCTGGTGAATTCTGCACTGCTGTCTTAATTCTTTGTTTGTATCAGGGAATTAGAAACATTAATTAAATATAGAAAATTACAGTCATAACCATTCTAGAGAGTATAGGTCAGAATAGTAAGTACCGTGCAGATTGTTTTAAGTTCCTAATGAATAAATATCTGCTGTTACGTGTGCATATACATTTATTTATTTACATACCACAAATGTAGAATGTATATTTGCTTTATAAATTAGAATGGTGCTTTCTTAAAAGTCTAACGTATCTTGTTTTTGTTTCAAAATCAAATTAGGTTCAAACAACGCTCTAGATCTGTGTCGTCACCCTCTGAGATTCACCATTTTCTGTTTCACATCACCACCCCTGCTAGGATGGTGATGCACCTTCACAGGCAAGAGCACACAGTCGCAATTTGTATCTCACACTGCAGTGAGCCTGTGAGATCTTGCCTGACTTCAGTATAAACAGAATTTTAATATACCCAAGTTCACTATAAACAGATTCCAGAATACCCCCCTTTTTGGTCAAAGCTGCTGTTTCATTTGGGATAGGATCCAGACATTTTTTAGATGCTTTATGTCCTGATGGAGGTTGTAGGGTTTTGGGGGGCATTTTTGGTGGAGTGTGTGTGGTTGTGCTTGTTTGGGATTTTTTTTTTTGTGCTGATGGTTGGACTTGGTAATCTCAGATGTCCTGTCCAACCATAACGATTCTGTGAAAACACAGACCACTATTTTGACTTGGATCTTGTGTTTAGAAAGTAACAACTGCAGGTAGGTACACAAACCACTGACGTGATGGCGGCACTGTGGAGATATTACATCTCTATTGCAAGCTCTGCATATGATGCTGAATGCAAACACAGAAGTCTTTAAGGATACTAATACATCCTTTAGTGTTGCCAGAGAACAGATTGGCAAAGGCATAGTGAACACTAGTAAATTATGTGCTGCAAAGATAGAAAGTACATCCCTTTTCAATATTATTTTAGTATTCTAATTATGATATTTCTTAATGAAGCTTATAATTATTTTCCTCTTCTGATTTTTAATGTTGTTATATTATTCAGATATTTTACTGAATAATACTGAGAAACTACTTTTTATCTCAGATAAAAATACTTCCTTGTATGTCAGAATTCACTTTTACTTAGGCATTTAAAAGAAGTCAAGAAAACAGATGTTTTCAAACCCTAGTTAGGCTATGAACTGCAGTGTCAGATTTTAAAATACAATAAGCATCTTCTTAAGACAGTGCTAATAATTAATACTGTAATTAATACCAGAAGCCTTTCCATTGACACATTTATAAATTGTCAGATCCTTTTTGAAATGTAGAACATCCTACATCTTCAAAATAAAAAGCTAAGCTAACAAATGAATTCCTGCCTAATTGCCAAACACTGATTTGTATGAAGCGGTTGAGGTTACAAAGAAATTGGGAATTCTCAGCCTTGTTTCCCTGCTGATGAGTACGAACTGTCTGTGTAGCTCTCCCAGAGGTGTCAGAGGAATCTCTATAGTGTCACACAAGGGTTCTTAGCTCAAAGTAAACACACTTTCCACAAACTCAGCTGCTTAATCTGTTTGCAGGTTGAATTATAAGATGGGGGTGGATGACTCCGGGTGCTGGGAAGACGCACAGAGCATTTCCACAGTTTCTTGGTAAAAAGGGCATGCTATTGTCATCAAAAGACTTCACCCAATTGTTTAATTTTGCTATAGGCTCAGTGGTCTGATCTTAGCAATAATGAAAACTAACCTGACTAAAATTTTCCCAAGTAATTAAGCATGTTAAATTGTGTAAATTCTTTTCACTCTAGCGATGCATCACACCACTTTAATTCAGGTTGTGGCTGAACTTCTACTCTAGCCACCCTGGTTACATGGGATTAAACAAGGCTGTTTCACTAAAAAAAAAAACCCAAATCAAAACAAAAGCAACCTCCACTTAGATATCTATAGTAAGTGTTTATAAACAAAGTGAAATGAAATAACTTTAAACAGTGTACAGAAAGGTTTAGCCAATATTCTCTTCAACATGCTGTAATTATTTTTCATAGCTTTATTTTTATCAAGCATGCACCTGCTGAAATTTCAAATATATCTAAGTGTTCTGAATGGAGATTTGAATGATTTCCTAAGAAACACTAGAGGTTTTAAAGAGATAACTGAAAACATGCATATATATATATACCCCCCCTATATTTTATTTAGTTACATATATATAAACACTATAAAAACATAAGTTTTTAAAATAGAACTCAGTGTTGTTTTTTTTTTTTTTAACAGGAATAAGTCTTGCTAGGTCCTTGTGATATATTATACGCCAGTTTCTATCTATTCTGGAGATATGATGCAGACATTAAAGTTGAAGACAAATATGGACCGATGGGAAAATTTGTATCATTTTGGCATCAATCACCTTGGAAGGGTGTGAGAGGGCTGTTTTGCAGCTGATGAATGTGATGCAGAGATGAGAAGTGCCAGACTGTGAAGCAGCTCTGCCTACACGTCTGTCTATGTCCTAGCAATCAGACTTTTGAAGGCTTATGTGCTAGTAATAACAATCACCATCATAAGGACTTAGATCAACTTCAGGTTTTGGAGTTGAGTAACCCTTTCACAGGGGATCTTATGATGGGAAGAGAATACAGTCCCTGTTCACCGATTCAGTGACTCCCTGTTGGATTCACTGAGATTTTTAAGCCACCTCTAAACAATCCATCAATGTTTACTGTGGCGTGGAACTTGTCAGATGTGTAGCAGACGACAACCAAGAACTTTAATACTCTACCAGGCAATTATAAAGGCAAATACTCTCCTGCCACGGGATTGCCATGGGTAAAAACACAGTGAAAACCATTCACAGGAGATGGGTACACTTTCTCTGTGCTGTGCACATGTAGAGAGCACTTTCCATGCCAGTAATGACAGGCACACTGACTTGCATAATATTATAAAGCTGTTGAAATGACTGGCTTCACACTGCGTAGGTAACAAGCTGAATGACTGACAAAGCAGCAATAATTTTAAAGGATGTTTTCTGAGTACTGCCACACTTTCAGTCAGAGACAAAATACTCCAATAAACTACATTTCATTTGGTTTTCAACTGCAATTTTCCTTGAAAGAAGGCAAGTGACTTACTTGTGAACTTTTTCATTGGCCTCCCGTGAAGCCTCCAGGGCTTTCTGGAGCTTCAGCTCTGTGTCCTTCTGCTCTGACCGAGCTTGCTGCAGCTGAGCTGCCAGATCTTCAATCTGGCAATAGGTAAGGGTCACAACATCCCCCCTGCTTTGCAGTCCACCTTCAGAAGTAGCATAAGTACAGTTAAGTTGGTCCTTCAGATTCCTTCCTTCAGACAAAGATTTGTATAAGCTGGGAAAACAATCATACATGTTACCAAGTTTCAGTCTAGGGCTGAGCTGCAAGAATACTACATTCAGTTTAATAAGTATTTTTAATACTATCATATATGCGTCTACATGCCCTTATACCAAAACAAGTTTTATTTCAAAAGTCACAGAGAAGAAAAAGAACATCCTGTTTCCACAAGGCTCTTCTAGAAGTATGTAACAACTATCAGAACTTTAAAATGTCAAAAACCTACTCAACAAAAACTTAAAAGGTAATATTTTCAGCTGTAGCATCTTCCTGATCCTCTTTGAGCTGCAAAGAAAAGTTCTTAATGTGATTTTCATGAAGTTAAATTAATCTGCATAAATTGCTGAAACTCGTTATTAACTCATGTTACACAGGACTCTTAGGAAGCAGACTCACCCAGTACAGGTGTTTCTTTGCAAAATAGCAGATTTTTCAGTGTAATGAAAGGAATAGAAATGCTACAATGCAAAAATTAAAACAATTAAATCAGCAGGATTACTCAGGAATGTGGAATATTTGCACATGCTAACCAATTCTAAAGGTCCTTGGTCAGTGTTTTTGTGAGAGGAAACTGAAAACATTTCTTGATGCTGATTTAAATGAGCTAGTAACACCTGTACTACCTGTACTAGAATACACTCTGTCTTAAATAGCCTCTCTATAGTAGACAGAGATAGGTAACCTGCCAGCATCAGGGTTTTATCATGGGACATTTCCAAATCTATTGTGTCCTCCACCATAGTTTCTTGAAAGGTCCTTTCTGAGCCACTGTTTTGGCTTCACTGGGGCAAAAAGTAGACATGTTTGCTATTTTCCACTGAAGTGCCATGGACGTATATTCAACTCATGCAGCTTTATACATGATTTTGAGGTATATTCAGAGAGATACCAAATCACAGAGTACAAAAATAACACTCATTTTACAAACCAGGATACAGTACTATATGATTTGTACTTGTGTGCCAGAAAGTTCTGGACAAATATAAGGGAGATCAGAAATAAAAAATTAAACTGAATAGGATCTTAATGCAATAGATCCATGAAGCCAAGAGAAATAAAAACACTTGGATCAGCTGGCAATAGCTATCGAAAATATGCAAAAAGAAAGATATTAGACAAGTTACTTACAGATAATGAGAAGAAATTAGAAAAAGGAGAATAAAGAAGAGGATGCATCAGGTAAAAAAAAAATATCTCATTGAAGCTTGTTGACTGGAATTATTTCCCATGGAATCAGCAGGCAGCCAGCTGCTTGAGTTATTAAGGTGCAATGGTAGAAATCATATTAATAGCTGATTACTAAGAGAGAAGACTGCACCAGCAACCTTTCCATGGAATTAGCTTCCCATCTCTTCACAGCCATAATTCATTGGTGAATTTTAAACCAGTTGGAAATGACATCGGTACTCGAAGGAATTAATGGAAGACATAACAAAAGTGATGGCAACAGGATATCATAATAATCAGTGTTTTTAGATAAATAATTAAAGTAATTTCAAAATAACTTCATGAATATCAGAAGGTGTAGTACTGATAAATATGACTTGAGACCATCTCTCTGACTGATGACCCTGTAAATATTAAACATTCAAATATTTCTGTGTGTATTTCTAGTAGCTCTGCACACTAATTACAATACTCAAGACACAGTCTGCATGTCAGCTGCTAATACACAATAGTGTATTTTCTTCCTTTCCAGCTTATTAAGGTGTTTGTATGGGAAACACCTTTCATTCTGACAGCCCATAGAAGAAAACAATATACAAACTAAAACATAATATACATGGACAAGCAAAATGTGGATGACCTAATAGAAATCCAGAAGCTAAAAGGTCAGTGTTGATATGTCATTACGCCTACTACCTGCAGTTGTCTGAAAATAATGTGAAGAACCTTTTCAATTAAATGAAGACATATTGAAAATATAAATATTTATAAAGGGACATTAAAATCCCTAGAACAGTCTCATTAAAAAAAAAAATTACTTCAACAGTTGCACATAAAATTTACCGACTTTAGCTCCACTATAGTCAAGTGTTGATCACCATGGAAAAATACAAAGGTATGTAAATAATGCTGAAAGCAGGTACTGAAACAGTGCTGCTGCCTGTTTCTTAAACACCTGGCACAAGATTAAAAGGGGAAAAAAAAAAAAGACAGATGAAAAACGAAACTGTTCAGTGAATATATGGGTCCCTGATGAAAAAAATAAAATAGACTGGAGCCTAAATATTCCAATTTGTTCATCCCAGCAGAGTGTTGTTTTTTTCCAGAACATCTGAAAAATATAGTCACTTATTTAGACTCTATTGCATGGCCAGTCTTTAAGATGGAGTCCAGTTCTAGTCACACAGGGCCAGTATTTTAGAGTATGCAATACATTATCACAGGTTTTAACTCATACTGATTACATCTGAGTGATCAATAGATTCTGATGTATATATTTTGTAGCCAGCGTGATTCCTCCAGATAAAGGTACTGTGCTTGATAAATCTTCTAAACTTTTATTTTTCAAAAGCAAGGAATTGCCAGATTTGTATCAATGTGCTTTGCTAAAATATTTTTATTTAGTCTCTTTTGATACTTCTTAATTTGAAATTAATTTCTTAACAGTCTGATGATTATTCCTTCAAAGAAGTTGATGCTATAAATCAAAAGTAAATGGGAGTCTAGTTCTGAAGAATGGGTGACAGAAGCATTCACACATTTCCTTGATTTAAGTCATTCACATGTTCTTACATGCCTTTTGCTTTACGACGGCAGCACGGCCCATTTCTTGCTACAGCTTGGGTCTGAGAAGTTCAAGGGCCCAGCTTAACTGCGTCCAGGCAAAAGAAAAAGTGACATGTGATGATGTCACTTATGCAGCTCCTGCAGAAAGCAAGAGGCTTCCTCAGCTCCCAAAGTCAGAGCAACTTCAAGACTGCTAAAAAATTTCACCAGTTGTAACTGCTTCCAGAAGGACTGACTTTGGCTGAAAATAAACTTAGTGAAGTGCTGCTCTTATAACACTTCTCTCCTTGCCAGGCATACTTTTGCTGCAAGAGGGGAAATTATTTTCCACCTGAAGCAATTACTGAACAACATAGAAAAACCTTCCACCTAAAGGAAGAAAAAACCCAACACAGCAAAACCCAAACATTCCCTATACATGCCCTCCCTCCTTCCTCACCCTAGTGATAAACATACCGAGTGTGCCCAGAGGCATGTATGTCTGCCCTTGGTTTTCACCACAAATGTTTCTGACACTCAAGTTCTGGAGACCTCTCAGACCTCAGCCTACACTCAGGATGGCTTTGAAGAGGGTCCCTTCATACTGTCCAGTGCACTCAAGGGCCAGGCAGCACTGATACCTTGAAAATACTACCTCAAAGTTGGTCTTTGGACACACTGCAACAAGACAATATCAAAAAAAGCTCCTAAGACCTAGAAAGACTTTGACTTTTTGCTGTAAAGCAGAGGATATAAAGTGGTCAAGTTTGCATTACTTGTGAGTCAGGAGCCCGACAGCTGGTAGGCTAGTAACTAGATGGCATTGCCCTACCATAGACAAATATTTCACTAGCCTTCCTTCCCCTGTAATTACACGCATTAAGAGGACTGTTTTTCTCTTCAGTACAACCCCCCAGATACTCAACCAAGGGCAGCAGCTGTGTTAGACTGTGGCACAGAGGCCATAAACCATGCTATAACAGTAGTGCCCTGCATGCGTAACACAGCGGATGTTCTTTGCACAGTCACAGCTCAGCACAGAGTGTCGCTGCCGAGTGTGTGATGTACCCATGCAGTCTTAAGTCTAGGACAAGGTCAGGCATTCTCTTTACTCTATGTTCTCTCACCAAACCCAAACGATAAATGCTTGTTGAACACAGCCCACCACTAATTTTCTTCTCTGTGGAGGTCGGTACTATAATCTCAGGATTTTGCAGGATAACTTGCTGACAGTTTGGTGCTGATTATGCATGTCCACAGCACCCAAACTCAATTACATGTGAATATGGATCCACAGTGAGCAGCAGGCCAAGTTTCAGCCTTCTGTCCTGAAACTATCGAGAGAAACCTGTGACCTGTACCAGGGTTCAAACAGTATGGTTACTAGATGATCAAAGCACAGGTTTATTATCTACACTGAAAGCTTGCACTGGCTGTTATCCACCACAAAACTTCTGTTTTTTAACAAATACAAATTAAAGACTTCTAGGAAATTCCTTGGGCCTCCATGTCCTAATTTTTTAAAAAAACAGCAATAGCAATACTACCTTTGCGAGGTGCTCTGAGCTTCACTACTTAAAAGAGACCCATTGCTGTTGAAAGAGCTAAGTTAGATGCAGCATGGTTTGAATTTAGGACAAAACTAAACCCGGACAGTCTTCTGATGGTGCCAAGCAGCAAACATTTTCTTTTGGGCCTTATCTTCAGCCTCCAGGATCACTGCAGTACCCACACCATTCGCTTGTGACTAGCTTGGGAGAGGCAGTAAGGACACAAGGCATGTGATTTAATCATCTGAGCCTTTCTTGTAGTTGAAGGACTGCTGAGACATGCTCTCAATATTAAATAATCAGAAACCGTACCATGGACCCTTTATTTATGGAGCTGCACAGTAATCAAATGTCTCTAGTTCACTTCATGCAGCCACCAGGCAAACTGCTGAGATAGCACAGGCTCACACGACAGCGATATGCACATGATATATCCAGCAACATCTCTCATTCCTCACATTGACTCCGCCATCAAATGATCCAGGACTTCCACACAGTTTCTGGGTTAACAATGTTTGGTTGAAACAGAGCAAAACATACATAATAATGATGAGTAGAAGGAAGCATTTTTGAGATTTTTGCAGCTCTGGTACTATCCTCTTCGGCTAGATCCACAGACCCACAGGTCATAGCTTGCAGCAAAGAAATGCATCTGAATTTCCTGATGACATGTTGCACCTAGAATTGGGGTCTCTGTTATCTCTAATTGATTAATTAGAGTCTGGGAGATGG